TTTATGTTTTAAATAATAACATTAGATTCAGAAATTGTGTATACTTTCTGAAATTTGACCATGATTGGAGCAGTACTGGCTGAACTGTGTCCGATTTTCTCCTACTACCAAGGTCTTGTTTACTCATTGTGAAGGTCGTTTAGGCAGCCTGCAGGCAATTAGCAATCAATCATCCAACCCACCAGTGACCGTTTCTTCTAATACCCATTTCACACTAGCAGAAAATATTACAACTTTTAACAACTATTAACAAGTTGTAACAAGTTTGATATTCCGAGATTTTTGGTTCGTTTCACACATGCACTTTCAAACCATGAGAAATCTCGGGAAAACTCGGAAGAATATTATGACTAGGCCTAGAGGACTAGGGTAGTACTAGTAGGCCTAGGCTAGTTGTAGGTTGTCCGAATTACATATCAACTACTAAACTAGGCCTGGTACCGAATTAACAAGATTATAATTATTCCATGGTCCTTAGCCTTCGGAGAGTAAAACGAATTCAACTCCTAGCTCGCTTGCTGTAGTCGAGCTGGTGAGAAAGATAGGCCTAGGCTAGCTAGGCGCAGTCGGGCTGCCGGCCGGTAGCTCACCATTGTTGTTAGAGGCAATCAGTGCAAGAAACATCATAATGATTCGCTGTCGGCGTATTTTACGAAGCCTCGTGGTTGTTTCTACATCAGACATGTGAAATTTAGCGAGATTTCTTTTTATTTTAGGTCTAGGCCTATTAACGAATGGTAGTAATGTTGATACGTTTTCCATCGCTGTCGCCATTCGTTCGGACTAAACAACAACAAAAAACACAGCCCGCAAAAAGGTCAAAATATGGACATGACGCATGCGCAACAACAACTCGGAAGATTTCGGGAAAAAAACAGGCCTCGCGATGTTCTGTTTTTGTTCCGAGATAACTCAGTGGACCCCTGTGAAATCTCGGAAAGTTTACAAGGATTTTGCTTTCACACTCATCCAAACCTGGTTACAACTTGTTACAAGTTGTTAAGTTGTTAATATTTGCAAAATAGCATCAGTGTGAGATGAGTATTAGGGGAAGAATTTCGTCATGTAGTCTATTTTATACTGGGAGTTGCAAAGGAAATTATGATTATGGCACTTCTAGATTCCCGGAAATGGCACTCATTTAAACTTGAAATTTAAATATATTTTTTTTTTATTTTGACAAATGTCCTGGACGGCTGGGCACCCCATTCCTACTGGATTAATATGATATATTTCCTACAGTTCATGTCAGAGGCACATTATGCTGTTATGTATCAACAAAGCCATTTTAGATCAATTTGCTACAGAGGAGGATCCTATGGGTAGGGGCCTACAGAGGCACCTAAGTGTCGGTGGCCATGCGCACCGCTGCACGAGAGCGCATATGCATTACGCCACTGAGCATGGATAGCTGTTTTGGCATTTTATACATCCTCGTTTAAAAAATCGTGGGAAATATCGGCGTAGGGGATATAGTGTAACGTTTTGTTCATTTTCAATCAATAGAAAATTCAAAATTAGTGAGCGGTAAAATAATCGAGCTCTCCTTTTCCCCATTGACAGGTCCGCCACTGAACTCATGGGCACACTTCCCTTTCTTAATCCCATTAACACTTCTCAAATTTTTCTCCCTCTTTTTTTTTTATTTTTCGGAGGGACTGACGGGGGACCCCCTACTGGATCCGGCACTGATCACCTGTTCATGTACTGCAGTTTCATAATACTGTACTGTCAGATCGTTCAACCAATACTTTTTAAGAAATTTAAACATTATAATTAAACATATATCATGAGTAAATGTTTTATTGAAATTAATGCTACCTGACACTAATTTTAGGGGTCGACTTAGTTCTATCTCCAGAGCTGTTGGGAAGTAAATAAACATCAAGTGACAGCAGGAGGAGTTAACAATTGTTGGAACGGTCTTAAAACTATGAATTACACAATTATAAATATTTCATTTACTGTGTTATTTTTACAATATAACATCATGTGAATGCTATCTATTGGGCTAAATTTAGATAGGCCTAAGTCCCTAGGCTAGACCATTGTAGTATAAAATAGGCCTTTTTCACGCTGCGGAGACATCTTCGATCGATGACAAACAGTGCTGAGCAGCGAAGCATAACCAATCAAAATAACATAGCGTTTCGACCATATTATTAGAGGTCATTTTACTGAAAAAATCATAAATCCTTAACGGATTTATGTTCGTAAAGGATATATTTACTTATTGGTATCAATAAAAAAAATTTGAAAATTTGTTTAGTCTGTCAAATCTCTGCTCTGATGATTGTCACCGTTTTTTCGGGCTCAATTTTTTTGATGTACACATTCACTTGGAGCATAAGTCGACCACACAATTTCGCGATCTAAGTTTTCTTCCAAAATATCGACTTATTACTCTGGAAAAAATGGGTGTCTATAAAAACAAAGACCGATAACCCAAAAACGAAGACTCCTAATTTTTCTTATTTATTTTTAAATTATTAAACCTGGCTGTCACAAAATCAAAATTACAAAGTTTTTTGGGCATCTGTGAAATTTTCAAGGGTCTTCGTTTTATAGACACCCTATATGGGTGCCTACAAAATGAAGACCAAAGACCGAAAAACAAAGATCCACATTTTTTCTCTCTATCGTGACGAAAATACGGAGCACATCGATGGCTGTGACTACACACCATCAACATGAACTAGCTGTTTATGTCTAAAGAACTACTAATTTTGCCATTTACTTCTATTAATTTACTAATTATTCTTTTCAGGCTGCAACAAAGAGGTGGTTGGGGGAGGGGGAGATGGCGTTCAGATTACGCCACTGACTGCATCATTCTACTATGTTTGGGCCATGTACTGGGGAACTCTTACTTTAGGTCAAGGCTTGCTTTCCCATCATGATGATTAGATTTCAATGGCTAAAGGCCAACTCAGACAGTGTCGGCCGACGCAGCCCGACCAGATTTATCGTCGGGGACAGTCTTAAGCCGTCGTGAGAAATATTAAACATGTTTAATATTCTACGACGCAACTGCCCCCGACACACGCCATCGCGTCTGCGTTTAACTCACGCAGACCCGATGCGACGACAAATCGCGTCGGGCTGCGTCGTACGACGCTGTCTGAGTTGGCCTTTACAGGTAATAAATGACAAGGAGGCAAAGGATCCGGACTTCTCTCCCAGTCGGGAGTCAGTTACAATGTCCCTAGAGGACTCATTGTCAGATTATGATATGTATGATATGATAACTTATTGTTCAATATAAAAAATGGAAATTTGTTTCCTCTTTGGCAATATAAGACATAAACAGATAATATTCGATAAAAACACATGAAAGTACAATATGAGTTAAAAACGATTTAAAAATACATGATAGACAGCACACGATTCTCAGGCATTAGTTCCCCGTTTTACCACAAATATAAAACTCAAAGAGTTAAAAATATAATAAAATGACAAAATTAAAACCTGGTACAAAAGTCTTCTTAAAATTGTTTAAAATTAAAAGTTAAAAAGGGATAAGATATCAAAATTGATTAAAATAGATACAATTACATACTTAGAGTGATAAAAAATTGACAGAGGTATAAATGAGTTGCGGTATCTAGCTAAGCGAACTCTCAGTACACAGAGCCTAATCCCTGAACGATTGTACGTATAATTATTGTGTAGAGGGTGCGTAGTATCTTTCATTATTGCACTTAGTTTAAGCTCTACTAACTTTTCATATAATTCTTCCATTGTTTTCAGATCAATATCACGTCCTATAATTCTAATTATTTTTATTAATCTGTTTTTATTTAATTTAGACATATTACCGTAGAAACATACTAAGTTGAATACTAAAAGTCTTTGAATAACTGATTGATAAAATAAATGAAGAATAGTTCTATCTACTTAGAATTGCATAACCTTCCTTAAAAATTACAGTCGCTGGTTTGTAACTTCAGTTTGTTTATTCCAATTAAGTTTGTTGTCTATAATTTTACCTAAGTATTTGTACTCATCCACTTGCTCTACAAGCTCACCATGAATAGTGTGTGGCATTATAGGGCAGTGGGTTCTTTACAGAAGTCTATTACCATTTCCTTAGTTTTTTTAAATATTTATTTTAAGATAGTTTTCAACAATTTCAGTTACTAAGAAAAATCTTCATCCTGTCCTATTATTATCTTGTACTGTTGTACCAATTTAAGCCATTACCCATAATTTGAACTTAAGACAAATTATTAGGTGCTACGGAAATGTTGTATATTTACTACAGATATCTGAAGACTTGGTTTCTGAAATGAATTTTACTATTACTTGAGAAGTCTGGAAGTGTGATGGAAAGGCCTAGCCAAGATAGCTTAATATTTTTAGAATACGAATACGGATGACATATAGTAATTTATTTCAACTTTTAAATGTAATTAAATGTTAAACAAATAATACACAAAGAAGCAGAGTGTTTTCATGAAATATTCATTGAGGAAATATCAGTTGTATACTACCTATAGCTTTGCTTTTGAAGAAAAAACTATCATTCTGAATTTCGGGTGAAAATTAAGAGTACACGAAAATAAAGGGCATTCAAACTATACAACAATTTTTATAAAAACTCCCAAAAAACAAAACAATGGCCGTATTCGACTGGTCATTCTTCATTAAACCACACTCACCTGCACAATGGTATCCTACTTAACAAAGACGACCAGTCGAATAGAAAACTGGTAAATACTCGCCAAAACAAAATGGCTGCATAGTTACCGCGATACACGCTGCATAATCAAGGCTGATTCGGATTGTGGCAGTATGGGTTTCGAATAAGCCCAATAACAACTTAATATGAAAATAACAATGTTAAAAACACTGCAGTAATAATTCACTACTATTATAACCCTCAATATATTAATTTAGTTTATGTTGTGATGACTATTGTAAAGAACATATTATTTCTTTACTCTATAAACTTGTTTAACATGCCATAAATGAAAGCCATAAATTAAATTTAAACTTACCCAGCTTGTATTGCTTGACTTTTCAAACGTTCCACCATAGTTGGTAAAGACATTGAACCTATAACCAGGAGCAAGCAAAACAACAGCCGTTAGAGCATTTACACTATAGAGATATTATATGACAATCACTGTAATTACACATTTCTAATAAAGAAAATTAACGATTTCTAGAATCAACAGTGCCAAACCTTACAATTTTCCAATTAATGTAATCATAAAATATATAGAAAGAAATTTGTTGTTTAGTATAATGCTTAAGTTCTTTTTAAGAATGTGAAAGACCATTATTTTAGTTTTAGTTTGAAATACAATAATTAAAAAAAAAAATACAAGTGATAGTCTTCTTGAAAACTTGATATCATGCCATAAGCAAGTTTTCCCCACATTTCACATATTATTTTAATGGTCTCTAGACGTTTTTGTAGGTATCTTTGATCATTAGAGTAAGAATGCTTTGATCTTTTGTTTAAATCACTGCTATGTCACCTACTAGAGGTAATGTTTTGATTGGTTAAACACTTTTGGTACTAGTGCATATAAGCTTGCTAATATGGATAATTTTTCATTCCTGATGATGACATGATTAATGTTGAAATATTGAATCCCAACACGATGGCGTGTATTTCAATACTTGGAGTATGTATTATACTTTCTTACTAGACGATCAAACTGTTCCTAATTTGTGGAAAATGTCTACCATTGTACTAACACCTAAAATACTTAAAGCCATGTATATAATCATTATAGACTAATAATACTCACACCCATTCCAATTAAATGCCCAGAGAAAATTGTTAAGTTTAGATTAATAGCAGAAACAAAAGAATCACAATATCAATACCAATTTGTGTATAGAAAGAATAGGGGTGTGGAAGATGCTGTAATTTCTTTAACTCATTAATTGAACAAGAATCTTGAAAATAATGGCTCTCATGCCAAAGTCCTCTTCTTAAACTTCTCATCAGCATTAAATACCCTGGAGCGGATGCAGGGGGGGCGCAGACGGTGCGATCGCGCCCCCGTAAATTGTATTAAGAAAAATAACTGTACTTTATTGTTGATAAGAATACCGATAAGAAATTGTCAAATGTTCTCAACTCAGCCCCAACAATGGTGGGGCTCAGGTGGTATGGACTCTCACGCAGCCCCTACCACCAAAACCTGCATCCGCCCCCAGATACCATCCAAACACACACTGACTACCAAATTAGATTTGAGGAATGTCAACCCATCTTCAAATTTGTGGTTAGCAGACTTCGTTCTCAAATAGTAAAATTTGATAACAGCTTATCAAATCCCCTCTAGCACAGCTGCACCTCGTGGATGTGCTTTATCACCTCTTTTGCTCACACTATATTCCATACCTGCCTAGGAGCTCTAATACACAATGATGATATTGACGATTATAGGAAGACTAAATAAGACTATGAACATTTAATTATTAAAAATGAAGTTGAAATTGTAAAGCAACACAAATATTTAGGTGTATACATGGATGATAAGTTAAATTGATGGTAAGTTAAATTGGTCAATCAGCTAGCCCTCAAGGTGCGGAAGAACGGCACACTGACTCTTCTCTAACAGCACTTGGTCTCGCACCCACTTCGCTTGCCTGCTTCACTTTCATTGGTCTTTTTCATTGGCGCATAGCGACTGCTGTATTATGTGCCTTATAAATCCATTGATTGATTGAATGAAAGATAATTCAGATAAACTAGGTTCCAAATGTAATCAACGTATGTATTTTATGAGGAAAATGATGAAGCCGAATGTTAACTCAGACATCATGTCCATGTGTTATGTATCTATAATTCTCTGTGCTATGCATGTAATGCAAAGCAACTCTTCTAATGTGTGTGTGTGCGCGTGGATATCGTCAGGAAAAAGTTTTCCAACATTTTGCTTAACATCACGACGATGTCAAACAAAAACAGAAAACATGAAGTTCTTTAGTGTTCTGGTCAGTTAGTGGTGTGAACAATTACAAAATATTACTCAATCATATGTCCTATTCAAATGATTAAGAATTAAATGTAATAATATATGTCAGTCATAGCCTACAAAATTAGGGAAAAAATACTTCAATAAGGCTCAATTCCAGTACACATCACAGGGGTGGATCCAGCATGCCGTCGGTCCCACCGAAAAATACAAAGAGAGGGAGAAATAAATTGAGTGTACCCATGAGTTCAGTGGTGGATCCAGCAGTGGGGGAAAGAGAGCTCAATTACTTTACCACTCATTAATTTTATACTGATTGATGACGAACATAGCGCTATATCCCTAACACCAATTTTTTGCAATTATTTCATAAATCAAGATTTTAAAAAGGCCAAAAGACAGACACCTAATATGGGGGTTTTTTAGCTATTACAACGGAATGTACTACCAGACCCGTATGCAGGATTTTGTCAGGCGGGTGAAAATTTGTGGAAAGTGGACCAAAATGGCTGGGGCTGCCTAGGAACAGAGCCCATTTGGGATCAAGTAGACGGAGGTCGTAATAGATTTTTAAGATGCAATGAACAGTATTAAACGTTTTCATGAAGGTCCAGAAAATGGGGGAGGGGGTGCTAGGGAGGAACCTTCAGAGATGGAAGATTGATACTACCTAAGCCTTAAATTAATTACACTACGTCACTAATATCATTAAATTTAAAGTTAAATTGTTAATAAATGGAGGTCAAATAAAATAAATCCCTACATATTTGACATACACATAACCTAGATGTGTAAGTGCCACTTAACCACGTGGTGTTTCGGATTTTCCACTGCATATGTCAACATACACATAAAATTATAGCACAATGTAAATAAAACACTAATTAAATTTACAATGTAAAAGAAACTAGATTTGAACTCGTTTGGTGATCCGCCGTACTTTGACCCTCATAAAGCGCGGCGGTGCTGATTGAAAAGTTTCATAATATGCTAAAATATGCTGTAATTAGTTCTTTAAAAAGAATAATTTTGAGCACTTTCATAGATTTACGCATGCGTACAAGTATGTCTTATGCCCGTGAGCAAGGTAATGGCACAAAAAGTGACTCCTGATATGAACACAGTGTCAGGAACACAAAATATGTAACAAAACGTGATTTCCGGTTTCAGTACGTACTGTGTGCGTGGAAATGAACATATGGCGCGTAAATATGGAAAGTTTTGGAATGCTGAAAATGACCCGAAACGTTCTTTAAACTATCTGATATTGAAAATAGCGATATTGAGAATTTTCAAATTTTAACACACGCACACGTATTTGTGCATGTACAGTAATGGCACACGAAATTAAACATTGTCAAGTGTTTTTAAAACCGTCTGTTAGTTGGTAATGCCACACAAATTTTCCCTTCAAATAACCTATATATATAAGTCTGATAGCATCGAAATACAGTCTGCTGCGCTCTCTGTGTTCAATTTTTTACATCTTTTAAGAATGAGAGATGAAAGTGCTCTAAAAATTCATTCTTTTTGAAAATGCTGACGTGATCAAAATGAAAAATAAAGAAAGAGAATTGATTTAGCTATAACATACTCACAGGTGGGAGACAATCAATCAAGATAAGCGAGATACGTTCAAACGAGTATAAAAAGTAATGACGTCATATATAAAAATTCAGTTTTTTCTTAACTCAAATGGCAATATGATGAAGTCACAATGTCCGATCAGCCATTATGATCTATAAAATTGTGTCTAAAACTCATGTGCTTTCAGAATATGTAATAAAAATTGGGGGTCACCTTTCATCCTAAGGAGCTATAACTGATTTAAAATATTCATGGTTTTATGCATATATAAATGTTGACGCACGCGTACTAGCACGCTAAGAAGCGCGAACAGAAAATTGATGGTGGCGCTGCTCAGTGGCAACATCACGGCTGAATTACAAGCGTCAATTAAGCTCTCTTGTTCTTGTTTTTCCACAAATTTTATAGTCTGTTTTTGGTGTTCTTCTTAGTAAGCATGTATTGTGGAAGTAATTTGCTTGTTTGTGGACTTTATCTTTATTGCTTGTGATGCGTTGTTGTGTTTTCTGTGTTAACGTAAACGTCCTCAGCAACGGACGAATTCACACTGGACTGATCTATAGTAGAGATACGTTACTAGCCCTAAGACCAAAGGCCTCCGCTACTACGCAGGATTTAAGATTGCTTGAAGAAGTTAGCAAAGTAAATAACCGGGATAACAATAAAAGGCCCAAAGCGAGGAAGAGAGGTAAGAAGGGAGGTATACGACAGAGACTAAGGAAAAATAAATATCTTCTAGCATTACCTACAGTAGTCTTATCAAATGTACGGTTGCTACAAAACAAAATGGACGAAGTTTGGACATATGCTCGATATGATCGGATTTTTAGAGAAGCAAATCTATTATGTTTTACTGAAACATGGTTGAGTGAAAATATCCAAAATACTAGTGTTGATATTGAGGGTTTCACTTTAATTCGAGGAGATAGGACTATACATTCAGGAAAAAGTGTTGGTGGAGGTGTGTGTTTTTTTGTAAACAAAAGGTGGTGCAACATAAGCGTTGTTTGTGATAAAATATGTATACCTGACATTGAGTTGCTTACAATTTCACTGAGACCGTTTTACTTCCCGCAGGAATTTCCACAACTATTTGCTACAGCCGTGTATATACACCCAAAGGCCAATCCTACTCGCGCAGCTGAGGTATTATCTGATAGTATGCACAAGCTGGGAACGTTATCGCCTGATGTGCCACGTCTGATACTAGGAACTTTAATCAACATAATTTGAAAAAAGTATTTAGAAATTATCAGCAGTAAAAGGAAGTGTATTTGATCAGTTATACTCTTATTTAGAAAAAGAAAAGTTGATTTATGAAAACCAGTCTGGATTTAGGCCAAACTTTTCTACTGTTTCAGCATTAATTAATATTACAGAGGATTGGATAGAGGCGATTGATTCAGGAAAATATGTTGGACTCATAATGATTGATCTTAAAAAAGCTTTCAATACGGTCGATCACGAAATTTTAATTGAAAAGCTAGAACATATTTGTCTTAACAAAAATGTCATAAGTTGGTTTAAGAG